GCTTATGATAATCTTAATTGAGAATTTCTTTTTGTCATTTTAAAGTTGTTTATGTTTAATTCTCATTTCATTAGCTTGATAAAAAATAACATTGAATTTTGTTGCTTCTCGGTCGTTATTAATGGCAAACCACATGGTTTTTTTCAATCTTCTCATGGGCTTCGACAGAGAGATCCTTTATCTCCTGCTCTTTTCATAATTGGTATGGAATTTTTATCTCGTGGTCTTAATCAACTTTTCAGAATGCATCAGAAGTTGTTTTTTAGGACTGGTGGTGTTTTGCCTTTGACCCATGTGAGTTTTGTGGATGATTTCATTATTTTTTCAAATTGTTCTATTAAAATGGTTCAAACTCTGTTTAATTTTCTTGAGAATTTTCATAATACCAGTAGTTTAACTTTCAACAAATCCAAAAGTTCCTTTATTACTGCTAAGTCAATTTTTGCTTCTCGTATTCATAGCATTGAAAGAAAAATTGGATTAAATAAGAAGTTCCTCCCTATGAAATATTTGGGTACTCCTCTCTTTAAAGGCAGGAAAGGCTCGTTCTTATTTGATGACATTTTCTCTACCATTCAGAAGAAATTTTCTTCGTGGGCCTTCAATTTCTTATCTTATGGTGGTAGACTTGTTCTCATTAAACATGTTCTTTGTTCTATTCCTATTTATTTGCTCCACACTTTGGCCCCGACTATGAATGTTTGGAGGAGGTTGGAGGTTCTTTTTAACAAATTCCTTTGGGGTTCCAAGGAAGGATCTAACGCTATTATTTGGGTTGGAAAAACTGTTCTGGGACTATGGATGAGGGCAAACTTGGTTTTAAAACCATCAAGGACATGGTTAAAACTTTTAATCATAAATTGTGGTATAATTTTAGAGCTAAAAGGAGTCTTTGGGTTAAGTTCATGGTTACTAAATATTGTGGTGTGAAGCATCATTTAAATTGTTCTTTTAAAAAAGGTGATTCTCCTAACTGAAAAAGATTATGCAACATCAAATGGGAAGCTGAGGAGTTAATTCAATGGGGTTTAGGCATTGGTGATATTTATTTTTGGCAAGATAAATGGTTGGGTAATTTTTCTATTGATAATCTTTTATACACTCGTTCTATTTCATCCTGTAAAGTTAAGGAGCTTTTTACTAATGAGAGTTGGAACCCTGATTTACTCTCTAATATGGTGCCTGGTTTTATTATCAATTTAATTATGAAGATATTATTCATTTGGAGAAGGATGATTGTATTTTGTCCAATTGTTCCAACGACATAAACTTCAGTACTAAACAAGTTTGGAAATTAATTAAACATTATATGCCGAGAAATTTTATTAATGTGGCTTTCTGGCATGCTAGTATTCCCCCTTATTACTCATTTCTGATTTGGAGGATTTTACATAATTATATTCCAGTGGACTCGATTCTTATCAAGAAAGGTCTCTATATTGTCTTCAAATTTCAATACTGCTATCACACTAAAAATTTGAACCATGTTTTTTTTCAAGGTCCTATTGCGATGAAAGTTTGGATTCACTTTGACAATTTGTTCTAAGTGTTCTCAACCTTTCAATTTACTTCTCTCACTTAGGTGTTTAGTGAATGGTTTACTAAAATTAAAGGTCATATTCGTAATATCCTTCCTGTCTTGATATGTTGGTATATTTGGAACAGTAGAAATGCTTTTAAACATGATAACGTCAAAATGGACATTGGCACTATTATTCCAAAATTAAGTATAAAATTTATCAGTTGTTTGTTGCAAAGCTTCTAAAGATTGACTCTTTCAAAGGTTACCATCATCTTTATGAGGAATTTGGCTTGAATTTCACTTATACTCTTGCTTCTAACAATAGAATTATTTACTGGACTAAACCTATGGTGGGGTGTTTCAAACTCAATGCAGATGGTGCTAGAAATATTACTAAAGCGGGTTGTGGTGGAACTATTAGGGATGCTAAGGGTTTTGTCATTAAAGCCTTTGCCGATCCTTCTATGGCTACTACTGCGATTCAAGCTGAGATGGAAAGCCTTTAATATGGGATTCATTTTTGCAAATCTCTTGGGATTAATAATTTATGGGTGGAAGTGGATGCTATGCTCATTATGCATTATATTAATGGCCAATCTTCTACCAATTCGGTTAATTTTTATAGACTCAAAGATATTAAACATTGCATTTCTCTTATATCTTTTAAAATTTCGCATATTTTAAGAGAAGGGAATGTGGTTGCCGATTTTCTTGCTAAATGGGGTTGTAATTTAGATAATTTTGTGGAGTATGATGAACACAATCTTCCTAAAGAGGCTAAAGGGCTTGCTAGATTAGATCGTTTGGGCCTTCCTTACATTCGGTTACATTAGTGTTGGTTTGGTTCTCTGTTTAAAATTGCGCAATAAGAGGCGCGCCTCTGCGCAATTTGACCCAAAATCGCCTCAAGGCTTACGCAATTCCTCTCCTGGCAGAGGCGTACGCCTCACTTGGACTGAGGCGCGCCTCAGAGGTGCAATTGTGCAATTCTGGCTGAGGTGTACGAATTATCATTTACGCAATTCTTCGTCGGTGAGGCTTACGCCTCACACCGCCTCGAGGCTTATTTACGCAATTTTAAACCTTGGTTTGGTTTTCTGCTGTTTTTATCATTTGATGGTGTCTCTTTTGTACTTTGCCTGGGCTGGTCAATGTGGGTGCTGTTCTTTGGTTTATCTGGAGATGATAATTATCTCTTGTGTTTTCTGGAGCTTTTTATGTTTTTTGGTTAACTTTCTAGTGTTTTGTAGTGAGTTGGCTGTTGGTTGCTGGTTCTGGAAAAATCAGGTACTATTTTGGTGTTGTTTTAGGGCTGTTATCTGGCTGGTCTTCCTGACAGTTGGCAGTTTTCTTATTGGCCTCATTAGGCGATGGTTCAAAATTATATGTGTGGAGTGTTCAGCTCTACTGGTGGGTACCTTTTGGTTGGCTGTGCACAGATATGGTGACCGTGAGTTTTCTGGATTCATTTTATGCTTTCCTGTATAATCACAGTTTGATTGGTTGTGCTTGTGGCTTGATTTGGCCTTCTTTTTTCGCTACTACTCTGGATGTTACTCCGCTTCTCATTCAAAATATTTTTTATTGCCCTGTTTGTGTTAAGTTTGCTGCCCTGATTCTGTTTTGGATTATTTTTGCTCTGGGTAAGACTCTGTTAAAACTGATGTTATGGAGCTCTGGTTCCTTCCTGATTTGCACAGAGGTTTTTGTTTTTGCTTCCATGGAAGTTTTACTGGCTTTATTTCTTTTATCTTATGTTATATGCAATTTTGTGCTCTTATCTCATTTCACCTGTCATATGATCTTTCTCTGTTGGAGGCTCTTTTTTGTGCAGATCTGGTGCCTAGATAATTGGTCTTGCAACGATTGCAGAGGGACTTCGAGCTCTAGTTTTTTGAGCTTTTGGAAGGTTGATTTTAATTTTTGCAGGAAGTATGTGCTGATTGCTATTATCTTTTTCTTCCTTTTTTGGGTGCTGATTTCTTGCAGCCCTAGAATATTCCTAGGTTTTTTTGTAAATCTTAGTAAAAGGAACCACCGGCTCTCAGGTTTTATTTTGCTTTCTTTTGTAGCTCTTCTGAGCATTAGCTAGCTGGAGGTGACTTTTAAGGACCTTGTAACGTACCCCTTTTTTGATATTAACGCATAGGCCCCTCCGTGGGTTTTAACAAAAAAAAAAAGCTTTACCCTTGAAGGAAAACAAAGCAAACTACAAACAAATACAATAAATGGAGCAATAAACTCCATATACTATAGGAAGCCTAAAATTGAATTCAATTGACAAAAAGAAACAATATATAAGATTGTTGGCTATCATAATGCAATCAATAAACATATTGTCTTTCATAAATGATATATCAATAATAAAAAAATTACTTGAATATGGCATACAATGCAATATTCTATTAGAGTATAGTATGGTGTGTATGTTGTCATAATAGATAATAGAATGTATAGCATATCAGAAGTAAGTCATATCAATTTAAATTATTGATGATACAACATAAAAATCATTTACCATCAATCACATCCATACAAGTTAGATATCATGAATAATCATATCATATAATATGACGTTTTTTTCTATTTCATTTCAATATTTAAATCATTATTTCAAATTCAAGTGGCCATATATTTTGGTTGCCACACCGAGCCTATCTGCTAATATTAGGATCAATCCAACCTCATACCTCTATCATGTGATTGGGTTTACACCAAACCTCACATTAAGGAAAACACATCAATATACATTCCAAATAATTTGTTTGCTTTGGCTTTCTGCATATCCTATTCGATGTGCGGGTTTTTCTTGTGTTGCTCACCTTTTAGTTTGCTCTCCTTTGTTTAAGGGTCCATTTTCTTTTGATTTGCTCTGGCCTTTATCTTTATTGGTTTTTGGTTTTCTTTGTTCGTCCTGGTTGTGTTGTTGTGGTTGAGCATTTCTATTAGGTTGATATTATTTTTTGTTCTTGTTGTGGTCGTCCAGCTTCATGCAGGTGATTTCTTAGCTGGTTCTAGGCCCCATGCTTGTTTTTCATCCATGTGCTCTACTGTCTTTGCTGCCTCCTCTAGTCTGGCCTCCAGTGATTCTAATCTGCCTTCGTTATTTTGGCTCCAGGATTGTTCACTGTCTGTGAGGGAGCTCTTTGATGTCCTTTGCGAGTTGGATTTTGTGGCTTATTTTATTGCATATTATTTCTTATTTTTGTGGTTTGTCTTTGTTTTGAAGGCTTTTTTTTTTTTTTTTTTTTTTTTTTTTTTTTTTTTTTTTTTTTTTGCTTGCTTCCTCAAATTTTTGGGTGATGGCTCATGGCCTCCCATAGTTTTTCCTAGGTGTTTTTGTAATTATTTGGGATCTTTGGCTCTAAGTTTTATCTTTTTATTATTATTGTAGATCTCTCATGACTTGTAATTTTCAATTTAATTAAAGCATAATCCCGGTTGTGAGTTTTCTCCAAAAATATACACATATATATATATATATTCACAGTTCACAAAAATCATATGGTACATCATGAGCAAACAATTCATATGAATTAATGTGTAAAAAAATTGGTGCAAGTTATAGAATCAATCAATTATTTTAATCTAATATGCATGAATCGTGCTAACATTAAAAGTAATAACTATCAAAATACTGAGGAAAACAAATACAATATTGTGTAGTGCCTATTAACATACAATGATTCTCCAAAAAATAATTATAAGTTTTGGCTCGTCAAAATCTCAATATAGTGTGAGGTGCCATGTTGAGTGCTTGGGTGCCCAAATTGGGCGCTTAGGCACCATATTAGGCCTATAACTAGACTTGAGTGCCTGGGCTCCCATGCACCCTTGATAAAAAAAACTCAAGATCCATTTGGTTTTGACACTTGGGTGCTAAGATGGACACCATGTCTAGCACTTGGTTGCCAGTTCTAGGAGCCCAAGCGCCCAAGCCCTTTAATAGCTCTAGATGCACTATCATCTGTTCAGACAACTCTAAACTCACTTCTTCTTCACTTCACATAAATCCACAAAATAGGTGTTTCTCTTCATATTTTTGAATTGTTGCAGTGGATTCTTAGGAATTAAGCAAAAAATTTGTAAAATGTCAAGATTTAATTAGGGGAAAAGTTACTAAAATATAACTTATCAAATACCCTCATAATTAGATTTTGGCTCTTCCCTCGAGCAAAACAAAAAGATAAACACAAAAAAAAAAAGAATAAATATTAAAAAAATAATAGCTCTTGCTATCAGCAAAACTTTTTCTAACATCTAGGGAAAACTATATCACACTAATCAAGAAAAATTTTTTGAACATGACTTAATTCGAATTATAAAGAAAGAGTTATAATGGCCAGCCTCACATGTAACCTCCTCCCAAAGGTGTAACCACCAATAGAGTAATTTCCTCTAACCTCCATGGTTGGCCCTCCTTTTGTAAATATTATAATTAATTAAATAATTATTTGTATTATCTCATTTTAAACATATCAATACCCTCATATCATTTAAAAATTAAATTTCAAAGACTTAAAATCAAAAATTTATACAATTACAAATGCAATGCATAAAGTTTTGACACATACATAAAGTCCAAATAACAATCAAATAAAAATAAATACATAATTTCCTAGGTTAGGGTGTTCAATAGGCTCCTTGTGATGGGTCCTCCTCGACTGCAACTTTTATGGATTGAGTACTAGTTTGTTTGACCTTTTATGTCATCCTATGCTCCGTGTGCTTACACCAAAACTCTACATTTCTTAACTCTCAAGAATATAATTGGATCCATCCAGAATAGTAGCCATAGGATGTGTAACTAGAATTTGTCTATACTGGTTAACAACTACATTAATGAGGTACAAACTAGTAGAACATGGGGCAATCAACAACGGAGTTGATGTGGTCAATAGAAGGATGACTCTAGAATTGAGTGGAAGGTGATAGAAGGCAATAGGTAGATCTTCTTTAAATTTTATCAAGTGGAAACCAACATTCTTGAGATAGACCAATAATGACAAGCTCTAAATAGGTAGACAGAGAGATTGCAAGTCGCTAGTGAGAATAAGAACATAAAGAAACTTGCTTTGATATCAAGTGAAAGGATAATGGGGGATAATTTGAAATTGGTTGCTAAACCATCACAAGAGACTTAATAGATTATAAATATGTTGTTAGAGTTAATTTCTTGGTGGGATGAAGGTTGGAGAGCAATAGAGGTCAAGCTAGGGTTTGGGGGAAAAAATCCTAGGCTAAATTCAAATGTCTAGAAAATCATGAATACTTATCCAAAAATTATAAAATTAATTTAATTAGTTAGGGAAGAGTGTCAAGATGTGATATGGAAAGTTCCACAATTTTTTGAAAGGTCTGCATAATTGCTTTAGAATTAGGAAGTAGTAGGTTTCAGAAAAGCTGAAGTTTGACGAATTTTCTAGGACTAGGGTTTACACATTAGAAACACAATATTTAACACTTGGAGGAGAAAGGGGTATGTTTTAAGAATAGATTTGGAGTTCTTCAAAAAATTTTATGGGGTTTAAGATCTCTAATTTCCAACTAAAATCACACAATGTCATATTTCAGGCTAGGATTGGCCAACCACTATAGATGGATCTAAGTGAAATTTTTTATGGAAATGTTTTTTAAACATAGTAGGGATATTGCTAAATAATATTACAACAAAATATTTCAGTAGAATACAAAGATACAAAATTAATCAACTCACAACACTACAGGAAAAACACCGTTTACCGGCGGTTCGCCCGGCGGTATGACCGTCGGCTAATACCGGCGGCCTACCCGGGGGTTTCGTAACGACCGACCGCTGGTATTAGCGACGGTCTTGTAACCGTCGGTGCAACCGCCGGCTGTCAATCGTACCGGCGGTTTACCGGCGGCCTATACCGCCGTTGATAAGTGATGAACTTACCGGCAGTCAGGACCGCCGGTAGACCGCCGGTAAATGCCCTAAAATGAACGGGCCCGAGCCTCGCATTTCATTTCTAATCTTTCCTTCTCTCTCTTCGCACGAGCTCTGCCGTCGCCTCCGCCCGTCTCGCTCGATCGTGCGCACGGTCTTGCCGCCAACGACCGCTCTCCGACCGCTGACCCCACACCGGCCGCTATCTTGCCGCCCTCAATCTCAAACCGGTTGCCCTATTTTTCGTGTGAGTTGAAGAAAAACTGGGATTTGAAGGTAATGGTAACGGCGGTGTTTTTCCTGTACTGAATTAGCATTCATTGTGGATATTAATTTATTTTCCTTTTTCTTCACTATTTTGTATCTATATATATTGTCCAACCTTAGGGTTCATATTATTCTTAACCCATTTGAGAGATCTCAAGTCCTTATTGCAATCAACACCATCATCCAAATTATAACGACCACTTCTTTTAAGAAAACCTAATGTTGATTCTACAAAAGTTTCTCAAATTCAAAAATATTAATTTTATAGAGAGAACTTTATGATATAAGAAATTGATTAAACAAAATATGCGAAATTTAATTCATAAATAATATTTACATACCTCCGACCATTAAAATCTAATCACATTTTTCAAGCAGAGCTGCAATCCTACAGAGCTGAAAATCAAAGGAAGAAGGAGCAAGAGGAGCAGCCATCTGCAGACAGTGAGGATACAGCTGAGGATTAGATCTTTTTTATATTTGATGATTGTATTTAGAACTTGTGATTGTAACCTTATTGAATTTAGAACTTTGTGAACTAGTTTTATGTTTGATGAACTTATTTGGAACTTCTTAATGTTTGATTGTAAACTTATTTATTAATTTGATTTGTGGTTATGTTTATAGTTCTGATGAATATAGCGGCGTGTTGCCCAAAATATCTTATTATGTATTGCTCTTTCTGCAGGTTTAGACTTTAGGGTGAATTTTTTTTTTCAGGTGCTACAGGTGAAAAAAAAATTGACAGTATTCCCTCAATTTGAGGTGCTACAGGTTTCCGACTTTAGTTTCTCAAATAGAGGGAATGCAGTCAATTTTTTTTTTCAAGTGCTACAGGTTTCCGGCGGCCAACCGGCGGTTTGGCCGCCGGAAACGACGATACCGGACGGCCAAAGCTAAGCCGCCGGTAACGTTATTACACCGGCGGTTACCGACGGCCACCGGCGATGTTACGGCGGAAGTCCGGTGGTGTACACCGTCGGCTTTGACCGCCGGTTACTGCCAGTAATGGTAACGGTGGTGTACCTGCGCTTACCGGCGGTTTAGCGAACACACGACGCCAGCATTAACCGCCGGCTTACCGTCGGTAAGGTGACCGCCGGTTAGCCGTCGGTAAATTAACCGGCGGCTTAACGGTCGGAACGCCGCCGGTTACAAATCCGGTCGTCACCGGCGGTGTGTACCGCTGGAAAACCGCCGGCTAAAAAAACCGCCGGTAAAAGGCCGCCGATAAGGATTTCCTATGCGATTTTTACTGGCGGCCTTTATGCCGCCGAGAACCGCCAGTGATAAAAAAACCGCTAGTTTAGCCATGCTAACCGCCGGTTTTTGGAGTTTTCCCTTTTGTGGTTGACCGCCAAGTCTTGCCATTAATTTCTTGAAATCCAAAAATTTGTCAACAAATATTTCTAAACTTTCATTCTAGAAATGCATACACTTTATAAGTGTTTACAAACTTAATTCGAATTATCAAGGGAGGGAAGAGTTACAGTGGTCAACCTCACATGTAACTATATGAAACCCCCTCCCAAGGGTAACCACCACATAGAATAACTTCCTCTAAACTCCATGGCCGGCCCTCCTTTTGTAAATATTATAATTAATTAAATAATTAATTATAATATATCTCATTTTTAACATATCGATGCCTAAATATCATTTAAATTTTAAGTTTCAAAGTCTTAAAACCTAAATTTTCTACAATTACACATACGCTACATCAAGTTCTAGCACATACACAACATCCAAATAACGATTAAATAAAACAAATCAATAAGAAATTCACTAGGTTGGGGTCTTCAATTGGCTCCTTGTGATGTGCCTCAATGCTCAGCTACAACTTTCTGGATTGAGCCCTGGAGTTGAACCTTTTATGTCATCTTGTGCTCTTGGTGCTACACAAAACCTTGACATTTCTTAGCTCTCAAGAATTTAATTGTGTCTGTCTAGACTAGCAGTAATAGGATGTGTGAATAGAATTTGTCCAAAGTGGTTAGCAACTACATCAATAAGATAGCAACTAGTAGAACACGGGTCAACAATGAAGTTGATGTGACCAATAGTAGGGGTCAGGGTCTTATAATAAGCTCAGATGACAAATTAATTACAACATACAAAGAGGGGAGCTATTAAGCAAGAGAGACTAAGTAGTTAAGAGTTAGTAATTGAGAAGGTCAATAGACTATCCTTTGGATGACGTCTTAAAAAAAAGGTTGATAATTAGAAGCTTAGAAAGCTGGTGACGAGAGGTGTTTAAAGGAGTTGGTGGTAGAAATGTGAAGTGGTGTGGCAATAGAATTACACGGTGCATGTTTCTCTGAGATGTAATGAGATGGTGCGACATAGGAAGTAAGATATTCTTAAAAGGATCAACAGATATAATTAAGATAAAAAACTTTGAGAATTGCATCGAAATGGATGACTTTAAAATTGGGGGAAGGCCATAGATGGAGCTTCTTTAGATTTTCTCAAGAGGAAATCAACATTCTTGAGAGAGATCAATAATGGCAAGCACAAAATAGGTAGATTGAGAACTTGTAAGTGGCTAGTGAGAGTAAGAACATGAAGAACCTTGCTTTGATATCATTTTGTGAAAAGGATAATGAGAGACAATTTAAAATTAATATTCTTATGTGTATGTCCATACAATCATAGACAAGTATATATAGGTTGAAGAAGAGATAAATAAAGATAAAATACAAGGAAGAAATAAACATAGAATCAGATATATATACACAAGCATTACTATGTAAATCTCTTTAAATAAAATTTTCAACATGATTATGCAGTTTGATGGGTTACCACTATAGAGGGCAGCATTAATTATAAGCATGAGGTAAAATTGAAGCTGCACCATGACCACAGTACTCACAAATTTCTCTTTTGTAAGCCATGGAGCCATTGCCGTCTCTCATACAGTTAATTTATGTAAGCTCTTATGAGCCACCAGTAAACTCCAGGAACTTGAAAATCTAAGAAAAACTTGAACGCGGCTAAACACAATAATGAAGCTAAAATTATTAGGCTTACCTCTTAGAAAGTAGAATCTCCTACTAAAAACCACAGCTCCACTGACATTTCATGGCAGCCATTTTGTAGAGCGAAGTGGATGACAGCGAGAGGGAGCACGCAAGTAAACCGTCATGACCGCGTTCATGGCCGCCAACCAGCGTGCTCTCTCTCGTTGTCAATGCAACAAGCTCAAACAAAATCTTGCCATCATCCTTCATCTACAAGACCAAAATACATTGCATCAGCAGTTACCTGCTCAAAAGTTCAAAAAAAAAAAAAAAGAATAAGAAATACGAAGGTAAGATTATTGTGATACCCTAATGCAAAAAAAAACGGCCTAATTGGCAAATGAAAGATCAAAAGTTAAAGAAGATGGAAAATAACTTAGATTCATGCAAGAATCAAACATAGAGGAGGACATGCCAGCGAGGTCGAGAGAAGCATACAAAACAAATCCGTATTTGGCGTCGAACTCCAGAATATGACCGGGATCGAACAGTATAATAGCCAAATATTGATATCGTTTAGATCGAGTAGTTAAATCTCCAGGAAAAAGGATTCTTCTTTACCGAACTGGCACTCATCTGAATAACAAAAGATCGAAGCAAAAAACAAGACAGGATGCTCATCATCTTCTGATCAGAAGCCGAGTGAGTGGAAGGGAAACCGCTAGATTAGATCAACGCTTAGAAGAGAAAAAATAGCTCTGCGCTTGCAGATCTGAGCTCCGAGATCTACTGCCCCTTGCTCTCCGCAGATGTAGATGCAGATGTAGATGCAGAAGAAAGTATAAAATGATAAGCGAGACATCGCTGTCAAGGAACAGGATAAAGATAAGGGAACATGGTTGGTTTTGTCGATGATACTATTAGTAGCTGAGAAAAATATAAAATTTATTAAATAATAAACAAAATCAATGGTGAAGAACATATCTTGACCGACGGAAGAACGGTTTTCGTCCTACAGGCGTCGGCAAGACGACACGGACCGTTTTGTGGTACACAATAAAGCGTACGGGGAGTGCCCTTAATATTTAAGAGAATCGCTGAAGCTGCCCCACAATCTGGTTTGTTTAGGACTGTCCTCTTCTCCAGCTTCCTGGGCAGAGTACTCGAATATTTTTTTATGAAGAAAATTTTAAAATGTTTAATAATTTATATATTTGAAAAATATATAATTATAATGTAAAATGCATTTATTATTTAATTGAATTTATTTTTTTATTATTATGTATTTTAAATACATTTAAATTTTGTTTGGGGATAACGATAATGGAGAAAAGAGTGAGAGGCTGTAGTAGTGAGCACTGAGCAATGATGTGTCGAAGAAAGCAGCAATTAATATTAGATGATGGTCAAAATAGTAATAGTAAGATATAGCAATTATTGGCACACAAGAGCCAACATAAAGATAAGAGCAGCAGACAACAACAACAATGGTAGTGAACAATAAGCAGCAATGAGATAGTGAGTAGCTACAACTAGCAGATGACAATGAGTTGTACAACAAGCAACAATGGGAGTGAGTAGCTATAGCTAGTAGATGACAGTGAGTTGCACTAGAGAGGCTGATGTCAGGTGAGTTATCTCTATATTTGGAAGTCGTTTGATTTGATTGAATTCCAAGTTCATTAAAATGCATTTAGGATATTTAAATCCCCCAATAAATACTATATTTATTTTATTTCAAACCAAATACAAAAATAATCAAAATCATGCATTTTTTTTTTTTTGATATACACTCCTAATACAAGTAAAAAAAACAATCATTTAATCAAATTGTTACTGAATTAGAAAGAGGTTCACGATATAGAGCTTGGGGCAGCCCAAATTATGTAAAGAGGGAACAAAACAAATAAAATCTGGTTTTGGATTGTGGGGGCATGGATAGTTCTCTTCATACATGTGGTTCAATTCCTCACAGAGTATATACGTCGTGTGTATAATTTTTACCATAAATATCTTTATATGTTTCCAATGATTTTCAATTAACTTAGACATTTAGCTTTATAGAAAGAAAAACTTGGCTGAAAACCAACTCCATTTTAATTACATACACACACATCAACATCAGGAGGATCAACAGTCGGTATATTAGAAATCTAGAAAATCCAATGTTATTATTAGAATTTTCATTGAAATTATGTTTATAAGTTCTTTATATGTTTTATATATTTCATGAGGACTATATGAGAATATGTGATGCAAGATTTTGTTGGTGAGAGATCCTATGGGGGATCAACACATCATTCATAATCTAATCTATGGTCCCAACTATTGAATGAGGATACAATTACCCCTGTTCTGAATTAAATTGATATTCAAGATAATCCACTGAATTTTTGTATTTGAATCCTTCTATATGTGTTTAGAAATATTTTGTAAGTATGTTAAATTTCGCATATGGCATATTTGTGAAATCTAAAAAATTTCTACCTAGGGCATCGTGATGCTAAGCTCTCTAAAATTTTGCACATAAACTCATGCTATAGCACTTGGTTCAGACTACTAAAATACTACATGTGGGGTAAACCTTTAAAATTTTATAAATAACCCTATGTTTGTTTAATTGCTTAACTTTAATATTATACGACATAATTTATATATTGTGCATCTTTGAATAATATTTTGTCAATATCCACTACAGGAAAAACGTCAATTTCTGGCGTCAATTTTTCGTGGAAAATGGACAAAATTCGCCGGAAATTAGTATTTTCGGCGGATTTCTGACATAAATATTTACATCGGTTTGACGCGTGTCGTAAAAGCGTTATCGGCGCAAAACTTTCCGTCGGAAAAAATTCTGGCGCAATTCCGGCGAAAAATTCGTCGGAAATATTTCCGGCAAAAATAAAATGCGCCGGAAATTAAAAAAAAAAAGAAAAAAAAAAATTTTTGTTCCGGCTGAAGCCCCCAACCCCGCCGCTCAACCCCCAACCCATTAACAAAATAAATAACTTTAAATATTTCTAATTGTCATTTTCCAAAAAAAAATATATATATAATTTCGTCGGAAATCCGCCGGAAATTCTGTCGGAAAAGCCAACGGAAAATGCGTCGGAAATAACTTCAAAAATTACGTTGGAAGTACGCCGGAAATATTTCGTCAAAAATTTGTCGGAAAATCCATCGGAATTTTTGACGAATTTATTTCCGCCGGAAATGAGCTGTTTTCCTGTAGTGATCTAAGGAGTTCATAGGTAGTTTTGTACGAAGTTCTGTTATATATCTACAGAGTTTTTTTGCAAAAATTTTGAATGTGATGAGGGAAAGGAGTTCTAAATGGAAGGCATAAGGATTTGCAGTTCTTAATGGGAGACATAAGAGTTGGAGTTCTGTTACTTTTTGTTTTGTATTGTGTGTTTATTTATATTTCATTCAGCATACTTTACATTCTGTTGAGCATACTATAACTTTGATTCTATAACATGCCTAATTATTTGTACCACCTTATATTATTCTGACACTGCTATACTATAACTTTGCTATTATGCTTGGAATAACTATTTTATTTTAAGTTATTTAATCTTATAATTATTAAGAAATAATTTGGGTAATGTAATCTGCTGGGTTGTGTTAGTTCATTATGTTCCTACATTTCATTTTTAGGTCAGGGTAGGGGAAAAGGGACGGTTGAGTAATCGAGGCTTTTTTTTTTTTAGTTAACTGGCTTATAGGTGTCTTTTCTATTTTTCTAAAGATTTTTTTAAACAGTTATGACACTTTTGTATTTCTTGCCTAGTGTTTGTTTATTGTTAGGGACTGTTATAGCGAGAATTTGTTTTGTTTTTTAGAATAAATAGAAAGAAAAAAAATGTGGATTTCTAAATTTATGTATAATTGAAAATTTTAGAAGCTATGATGTCTAATATCTAAAATGAAATATGATATTTCTCTAAATAAAGATCTCGCTATATTTTATTGCCATCCAACATGGAGTGACCCATTGGTATCAGAGTGTAATTTGGAGAAATAAATTATACATAGATATATAGGAATTGATCGTAGTCACATGAGATGGTTCTAGGTAGTAACATGCATTCATTTTATTTTGTCATTCATGTGCACGTATCAGTCGTGTGTGTGCTATGAGTTCTAATGGATCAACCTGAGCAAGATATGAATGATGGGTCGAGTGCAAGCTAAAGTGCACCAATAGTTAGTACAGTGCCTATTATTACTTCTAATATGATGTCATAGTTTGTTGGGATAGTAGCACAATCGATGGGAGGCCTAGAGCAAAAGTTCTTCTTGCAATATAAAGGATGTGGATTAGTATTTATTTATATGTTTTAGGCTGAATCCTTTGAGATTCGAGGTTACTATTGAGCTTAGGATTATAGAGGATTAGTTGATGAGGCTAGAGAAGACATTTGACAGGATGTAGTATCCTCTCGAGAAGAAAGTACCTCTAGCTAGTTGTGTTTTTGTTATATGTTGAGGTGGAACAATAGTGGTTGGGCCAACAGTAGGAGAAATTTCATAGGAGGCTAAATTCTCTTATTAGTTTAGAAGAGTTTACTAATATGATTAAAGGATGGTATGTACCTCTATCTGTCTGATAGTAAATGTATGAGGGATTTTTAAGAGTTGTTCAGGGGAGTAAAACTATGATACATTACGGGGCAAAGTTTGCTACTTTTGCTAGATATGCTCCATAGCTTATTGATACTTTTAGAGAGGAGTGTTACCCTTTTTGAGAAGCTTACGAGATGGTCTAAGATAGTGATTGATTTTATTCTAAATTATTAATTTTAATAGCTATTGGAGCTGGCAGATTGATTGATAATGACTTGATTATTACTTAGTAGTCGTGGGCTGCTAGTAAGAAGATGTTCAACTAAGAGCCATCTAGGAGGAGTAGATATTCTAGGAAAAAAAGTATATTTACACCCTCTAAGTTTAGAAAAGCTAATTTTTCTGGAAAAATTTCTTTTAGTGATAATACAGCTAGTTTGTACATATATGCTCGAGCCATGGTAAAAGACATATATGGTCATATTACTGGATGATAATCCAACATTTTCATTATGGTCAGAGTAGACACGGATTTGTAGAATGTCCACAAGTAGCACTTGATTATTATTTTTTATGTTTATTATGAGAGCTTTATTAAATTAGCAAAAAACAAACTGATGACTATTACACCTCAGAGATATACTAATACAACTTCTGATAAAGGTAATGGTCCTATGATAAGGAGATAGTCTTCAAGTGTTCAGAGATAGCCTAGTCATTCCATGGCTCTGACTTTGATATAGCCACATGTATATAATATGACTTAGGAAAAATATATGGATTCTCCTGATGTGGTGTGTACAATTTATATTTTAGCTACACCTTACCATATTTTGTTTAATTCTTATGTCATTCTTTACTTTGACCTGCTATGTTTACCTTTTGTACTGTTATCTTTTGCTTTACCTGTTTTTCTATCTATTGGAGATAATATGGTTATATGGACACTAGTATATTTTGTCTTTATGAGTTATTTTTTTTTTTTATAAAATTTGAAAGTCTAGTTTGCTAATTTTGCCTAATTTTGGGTTTGATGTTATTCTAGGCATGGATTGGTTGAGTCAGCATAAGGTTTAGATTGATTTCCTGGAAAAGAAAGTGACCTTACTTATTGATGGTGAGAGCATGATATTTCAGGGAGTGGGAAGCATTCTATTATGTCTAATCTAGACTATGAAAATGGATAAAATGTGGAATAAGTGCAAACTGATATATTTCTAACTTCTATTAGAGATAT